AATAATTACAATTGTGATATTTTTCCAAAAATATTATTAGTAAATAAAGTCTAATTTTAAATCTTTAATTGTATCTGCAAATACAACTGATAATTGTATGAGAATATCAAAATGAATATTTATTGAAAACATAGTTATGAAGTTATTTCTATTGAATTTTATATCATTATACTTAAGAATATAATAAAGTAATGTATTTATTTTAATATGTGTATTTGCTTTACATTTTCTATATGTTTCCCTTTCATATCCAAATTTAATAGTTTGAAAGTGATTCTATAAATAAACTAAATAAGTAAAACCAAAATCATAAAAAAAACAGCACCATAATCTAATTAATTACGATTCAAGTTATGTATTGATTCAAACTCTTTATTTGAATGATTCTAAAAATTTAAGTGATTTTTATTTAAAATTAAATAGAAAATTATGAGAAATATCATTATTATTTGTTCTATCTTTTCATAATTAAAAAAAAAAATTCATCCTATTGGGTAAATCTAACTCCTCTTCAATTTTTTTAAATAGAAGACAAATTCATATAATTAATTATCAAATTTTCATAGAGCAATTATATCAATATACATACCACATAATATTAGAGTTGTATTTAAATTTGATTTTATCTGAGGCAACCGGATGGGCTTGTAATCGGCTTAATTATGCAATTTGAATTAATTTTCAAATAATAATAAAATATAGAACATCAAATTAAGTTGATGCACTAATACAATTCTAGATAAAGGAAAAATTTTAAATTAAAAATTTTCTTTTATGTTCGGAATATATATATCTTTTAATTTTTTTCTTGTTTTTAATAGTTTTAAATCACATAATAAGTATGGAATCAAAAAAAAAATTACACAAATATTTAGAATAAATAAAAAGTGTTCTTTAATGTAAATTTCAAAAAATATTTAACCTTTAATCTATTTGAATATAATGTCACCCTTAGAAATTTAACTTTTTTTTATAACATCATAGAAATGTGAAGGTTAAAGGGAATATATTTTTAAAATTAAAAGGTAAAACTTAATCAGGACATTGTAAATATATATATAAAATCATATTAATAAAATTAATTGGATTTATTTTAAGAGCATCAACATTATATAATTTATTAATGATGGAAAATAATTAATTTGAAATATATTATGTTTCTAAAATGTAGATTTCTAATAACAATAAATATTTAATGGAATGATGTAGAGGTGCTAAAATTTGGTTTAATTTTTGGTTGAGCAGTACTTAAGCTGATACATACAATTTTTTTGAAATGGAAAAAAATATTGTCTAGCATGAAAATTTAGAAATCATTGAATACTTTAATAAAATCAATATGCTCAGAAAATCTTATTACCTTGTTGTTTTCAACTATTCAATTTAAATATATTTTATAAATTGAAATCGTTACTTTCTTTCTTTATTCATTCATCTATTAAGTAATAAAAGAAGAAGAAAATGATTTATGAATTTATTCATGTTTTCATAAAGATATATCTCTAAAAATTAATAGAGGAGAAAAAAATGATATATTCAAGTAATTATTTAATATTTTGTTGTTTGAATGAAATTTTGGAAGATCTTGAATTCTTTCATTTACAGAACAATGATAATAAAGGAATTTACAAGCCAACCTTCAAAATATATCCATTTTGGCCTATAAATTTTAAATGACTTGTTAATACTGAAATGTGGTTTATTGATTTTTACAAATGGATAAAAGCCAGAAAATTCTTTTGAAATATTTCTTTTATATCTAGTTAGACCATATGCTTATTTTATAAGATCAAATTTATAGGTTGAATACATTCTCTTTACTTTTGTGACAATGTAAATTTTTATATTATATTGGTTTTATCTTATGAATATACAAAAAAATGACAAAAAGACAACATCATATATAGATCAAATTAGTAAATACGAATCACGTTCAACATTATATTTTTTAATGATTAAAATTTGGAAAACCCTATTCTTATTTTTAACAGAATTTTTAGGATATTTATTAATCGAAGGGTATTTTTTAATCTTATTTGATAAAATTTAAGATAATTTATTTTGCATCATCAGCTCCGTCATAATTATATTTGAAATCTTAATAATAATAATACTATAAGAAATATTCTGGAATTAAAGTCTTCATTATATCCCAAAATAACTGAACCAAATAAATTAACCAACCATCTCCATTTTATATACTAAATTATTGAAAATTATTACACTTTGTCTTTTTGCTAGTTAAATAAGTTATAAATCTGTAATAGTGTTAGGGATATCGATCTTAAATAGTATTTATGAATTGTACATCCTATTAATACTAAAAATTAAACATGATTTAATAATCATAAGCTTAGATGTATTAATGTAATGTTTAATAATTTGTGTTTCTATTTAATAATTAATAATCAATGCAAGTAGTTTCGGATTATAATTCTTGTGGATTATTGTTGGAATTTTACTTTACAAATTAATTTCTTTATACTACATGAATAATTCTATTTTACAGATTTAAGTAGTTTAATTGAATGATAATAAAATTGATTATAAATTGTTGGATGGAAAGTAGAAACTATTCAAATATTAAAAGTTAATTTAAGAAAGAGGTTCTGAATATAGATTAGCTAATAAAATTTTGGTAATATAGCATCAACAAAAATGTAGTAAGTAATATTGCTTTTGCAGAAATGACGAGATGATCATGATAAAATTGGAGCATCTAATCCTTAAAGAATAAATTGATGTTTTTAAAACCTTTATCAAATAATCTCATGTATAATCATCATTATTTTACTTGTAATTTATATAATTGCTTATTTATAATAATCGATTATTTGAAGCTTTGAACATTACTTAGAAATTACTTAACTCTTTTAATAGAAAATCATAATTTATGAAATAAGTACAATTAATAAAAGGTTAAGTTTCAATTACTCACAAAATGCTTTTTAGACTACTTTAACATCAAATTTTCATGTCAATCAGATGTTCTATTTAAAGTAAATCATCTAGCGCTACAAAATTATAAGTTATCAAATAAGCAATTAGATAATTTCAATAAAAGTTTGATTCTGAGAAAACTATTCAAAATAAATTCAATAACATTATGAAATATAAAATTGATTTCTTGGATGAATTATCAAATACACCAAATTTAGAGGATGAATTCATAAATTATTAGGCTTTCAAAATAATCTAAGAAATGGATTAATTTAAAGAACTGTTAATGTACAATTTTTAGTAAATGCCAAGTATATTTAAATAATATAATTAGCTTCCAATAATAAGAGTTTATTATTGTTCTTTCAAATAGAAATACTAAATGATCTAATCAATTCTCAAACAATTAATACAATGAATACTCATTTAGAAGATTAAGAATAGATAATCTTTTCTAATAATGTTTATTAAGAATTAGTAAATTAATATTAATTCGCATCATTTATTTTAAAAGATGAGGACAATATTGAATTTGTATCAAACAATGAAAAAAAATAATTGAAAATTGGATAGCGAAAATATATTGCTTTTGAAGAGATGGTTCCATAATCATTGATCTCACTTCATAAATACTTGATAAAAGATTTTTTTTAAACAGGTAAGAATAAATATTATTTAAACATTAATTAATCCTTTTTATAAGTATCTGCAGGAATCATAAGTCCAATTGAAATGTGTATGGACATATCTTTTGATCTAAAAATGAACTAGTTATTAGTAACAATATTTCTAAAGCAATTAAGCAGTGACAATTAAGTCCATTACATTATTTTAGATTCTCAATTTAAGATAAGAGAAATATCATAAATTCTTTATGAAAATATCTTAGATTATCCAGCAAATACTAAGATGCTTCTAAATGATATTTCAGTATTTATTTTTATTCCAGAATTAAAAGAAAAAGACTTTATTTAGGATAGGACTTTGGGAATGTATAAACTCTTTTTTCCATTAAATATTAATAAATAAGCTTCACCTAATTTAAAAACATATAAAAAATCTTAAGATTTTTTTAAAGGTTTAATAAGTGTAAAAGTTAGGTTTATTAATAAAAAGAATCTCTACTACATTATTGAGATAAGTGATTTGAAATCAGAGAAACCATAATTATTAGAATCTATATCAATACCTTAAGGAGAGATTGACGAAAAAGAAATAATTAATGTTCCTTTGGAAATTAATTTATGGAATGAAATAACAAGCTTGAATTAAATTAATTAGTAATAATATACATCTCATCTTGATTCATAAAGACCTTTATTAGTTAAAAGTTTAAGTGATGGACTAGAATTAAAAATTGAAAATAACCATAAGCTCGTTAATAACAGCAAGACATCTAAGAAATTAAAGAACTCGATAGCCTCAGTATAAAACTAATATTCTGAAAAGGCCTAATAATAGTTTGATGATGTGGGTTCATAAGTTTCCTCAGTAGCTGCAGTTAGAAGATCTCTTTATTTTAAATAATTTAAAATAATCAACGAATTGATATACTCAAAAATCTTCCCCAATAATATCAAACTATTTAATATCACTTTCTTCATTTATATTCTTGTAGGAATAATAAATATGATAATTCTTATTGAATAAGTTTAAAATTTATAGAAATATCAGGATCTTATGGTATTATTGAGTATTAAATATGATATTTATGAACCAATAGAATCATTTTTAAATACAAGATACACAATAGTTGGACTCAACTAAGCTATTTCTACAAAAATGATAACACAATAGGAATATAATTAATTGGTAGCATTTCCTAATTCAAATTTGGTTAAAGGATATGATGATTTAAAATCTAATATTATGGATGTTATCTAAAGAAAAGAATTTTAATCTTTTTTGAAAGACTATTATAGGCATACTAATCTTTTTTCCTACAATTTGTGAAAAATAATATTTTTAATCTCTATACTTTGAAAGTTATTGGTATACATCAACAAACAAAGGAAGCTAAAGAAATACAACTTTTAGGAGTGGAATTCTAGCTATGCTAAACTATCAATATGAATATAAATTAGCTTTTACAATTCGACCATTAGTAATAGATAGTGCTTATTCTTACTATTCCTACAAAAATTACCTTTCAATTTTTTCAATTTTTACTTAGTTAAGTAATGATATTTTAGATTTGTTAATAAATTCATTAACTAATTAACAATTTGAGCTTATTGTTATCAATGCTACCTTTAATTGCTTACTTACCATTATTTCAATTGGTTATTTCTACTATTTAGTAAAATAACGACGATTGAAAAATAAAATTTTAAGTTTACTCCCTTAACAAGATAAAGATATTATGCTATATGAAATTTAAAGACTTAAACTATTATAAAGTCACATTAATAGCAATTATAACTATTTATGTCAATACACATTAGAAATCTAATAATTCGATGAAAATTTAAAAAAACAAGAAGAAGAATTCTATAAATTAGTCAATAGAAAAGGCAAAAAAACAAGTGGCTTAAAAAGAAAAAGATAAGTCACTATTTATAATTTTATTTAAGTAGGAATCTTTTTATTTAGCTTTATCGTAATTCTATTAATAAATCTCTTGACCATTAATTCACTTGATTAATATCTATTTAAATAAAAAAACACAGGCCAAATATATTCATCCCTGTCCAATACAGGAGTTAATATTCTCATCATTTATGCTTAAAGGGAAATTTTATATAGAATTGTGGCTTTTGCATTTTTGACATCCCAAGATATTTAAGGAATCTAAGATTAAGTTGATAATAGTTTAATATAGATTTAAAATTTTAGCACTTAATTTCTATAAGTCAATTAAAATGATTATCTTTTAGATGATAATTCTATGAATTTATTCACTGATATAAGCACACAATCCTTATGTAATTTTTTGCCTGAAGTAAATAAAATAATTATCATCTATAGAAATATGCAAATGTTTCATAATCCTTATGTCCATTTGTTTTATAAGGAATCTTAAATAAAGGCTTAATACCGACATTGAATTTAATGTATACTTCAGTTTATGCTGAAAAATAAGTTAATAATTTCACATCCAGACCACCGACTCAAGTACCATTAAGAGAATTAGAAGGGGCTACCTTCACATCTTGGGTTATTAAAGAATTAGTAAAAGATTTAGCTCAAAACTTAAATAACTACTCTAGTTAATTACAAATGACTTTTACTGTAATCAATTTAATCAATAATTTAGATTATTTATGCATTTTGTATTGCGTATTAATTGTTATTTGGTTTAATTATAGTTATAAAAATAAGCAACTATGAAATGATATAAATAAGCCATCTAAGAAAAGTAGTTTATTTATTACCTCAATCAATATTGTTATTTGATGATTCATTTTAGCGTCAAATTAAGATTATCATGAAATAAGAAGATTTGACATGATTAAAATTATATTTCATATAATTAAAAATCAATTTGTTAACATAAATCTTTTATATTTTAGGTTATTTATAAATATCAATAAATATTTTTAATTCCTTTATTTTTAGGGGCAGGAATATGCAGATATCATATTTGATATTATTTGTGTTAATATATATACATTTAATTATATTCTAATTAAATAAATATATACAGTTTATTTAATTGTTTATCAAATAAATCAGAAAAATCCTTTTTACTTGATATATTATAGTGTAACTTTTACTAATCTTCTCTCAATTCATTTGGTTTCCTCGGTGTTTAAAATCTCACTCATCTCCTCTATATACTATTCTATATATTTCTATTAATTCTCCAATTCTCACTCAATATGAGATTATTATCCTCTTTATGGTTACCCCAGTTCTTTTTTATCATCTGTTTTTAATTATTTACTACATTTTAAACTTTTATTTATAAAATTACTTGAGTAGATTTGTTGATATTTTCTGAAAAGTTATTTAATTTTTATTCAATCCTTCTTATTTTGTAGGCCAAATTATTTTTAGAATTCCCCATCTATTAATACTTTTAATACTTTAAACATTTTCATCTAATTATAAATTTAAATATATAATAATAAATAAAAAATTCAGGTTATTAACTTTTATAGTATTTTAGCATTTATTTCTGTTAAATAAATCTTGATTTTTAGATTACAATATATAAAGTTAACAAGTACTTTTCAGAGATTTAAATTAAGTAAGTAATTAGTAGTTCATAAAATAAATTCATTTAAAAATTTCAATATAATATTTATTACAATATTAATAATTAGAAAATATGTTGTGTGCTATTTATTGAATGCTAAATTAAGATTTCATAGACTGTCTTTTTGAGAATCATGAGCGTATAATACCAGTAACAAATTGACAAAAGTTTCAATTTAAATAAAAAAAATAAGAATCTGCTTGTTTAATTTACAAAGTAACCTTTATATTTATTTTTGATTTTTAGAAATCTAAATAGCTGGAAATAATTTATAAAAAAATTACCAAATACTCTAAACGAAAAGGTTTTATATAAATGATAATCATCTGTAATTGTGTGACAATACCGATAATTTTATAAAATAATCTATATCAATCTCAATTAAAATAATATCTGGGTTCTTAAGACATATAGTATTGTAATAAATTCAATTGCAATAAAATCACTCTCATTACCGAATAAAAAATAAAATTGAAATTTATGATGGATTAATTTGTCTTAATTCATATTAAAATTAGGAAAAAATAATTTGAAATTTTTTCAGCTATTATTACTCATATATCATAAATTAATAATTATTTTAGTAAACTCCAAATCCTCAAGGGTAACTCTAGATCGTTACTTTCAATTTATACTAATATATATATAATCATATATTTTGTTATTTAAAGCAACAGATATATTTAAATACCAATAAGTATTTGAAATTAATGGAAAAAGACTGGTAAATACAAAGTCTTAGACTTATATTATTCTAAGTTTTTAGGGTTGGTAAAATTAATTTTATATAACAAAAATAGTTTCTGTTTTTTATACTTATATAAACCTATATTTATACTCATAATAACTAATTAATTATGGGTACCTTACTCATAAAATCTTATGAGCAATGAAATCAATTAAAAATAATTAGTAATTAGATCTAGAATGATTAAAATATTTGGAGTAAATGTAATTTTTAATAGAATTTGATATTACTTTTTGATTAAAGAATTTCAGAAAATGTCTAACAATATTCCATATTATATTTATTTGGTGATAAATATGTGCTAAAATTAAAGAATTTAACCAAAAATTAAATGATTTTACAATAGGAAGACTTAAAAATCAAGATTGAAATTAACAAAAAAAGAAATTTAGATGCACTTTTTAAGAGAAGAAACAAATGGGCTTATAAATTAGGAAGGAAAAAATTCCATATACTTATTCATTTAATTAAAAGGAATCCTATCATAGTTTAATCAATGTTTGTATTATAATGATAAAATTTTAAGAATTTGAAATTAAAAAATTGGAAGAGTCTGTTAACAAGTTTTATAATTAATTTTAATTAGAATTAATATTTAAAAATAAAATATATTTCTCTTTATTCTTAATTTAGAATAGCATGAGCCTAAAAACTTTTACAATAAAAAAAAGTTGATTATTGATCTAAGTCAATTCATTAACTAGAATATCTATTCAAAGGATTAAAATTTGAAAATCTCATATTAATAATTAGAAATTTTATATAATATCTTTCTTTTCAATTTTCATAATCGCATCTTTCAAATTTAGAAATATACCTTTTGTTAGAATCTTCAGATGCCATATTATAATTTAAATGTAAATCATTCCTTGCGGTAATCTATTTTGAACTCTGAATTCTTGAAGTTAGTAAAGAAATCAATTATCTAAATTACTTTAAATTTTTTAATTATATTCTTGAAAATTATATCAGATGATCTTTTAATTGCATAAAAAGATGTTTGATTCTTATTTCTCTCAACTTCTCCTTCTCTAAAATATTTTTTAATAAAATAGTAAAATATAGATTTGGTACTTTAGAATTTAGAAGTTAATACAATTTATTTAACAATTAGAATTTATAAAGCTTTATATAACTTCTTACTATGTCAAAAATAAAAGGGTAACACATTTTAATAAAACAACTAATAATAACAATTTATATCAGCATAGAAGCACCTAAATAATTCTTTTATTCACAAATTTATTTAGTTAATGCTAATAAAATTGAAATTGAGCAAATTTAACTACTCTATAAATCTAAATTATTAAATTTTTGATTAATGAATGGTTAATTAAATGCTGATAATATCTGATACATTAATAAACATAATCCTAATAGGGAAGCCTTCAAAACTATTTCTGTTTCAAAATTGGTCAGAATAAATATTAAGATTGCTTTCTTAAATAATTTAATCTATTCCCAATAAAATCCTTCCATTTTGTATTCATTCAATAAATATGAAATATGTCTTCTAATTTTAATCTTATCCAATCTATTTTAATTTATCATCAACAAGATAAAAATCAATAATGGGATCAAAATACCAATCACAATTAATCCAGGGATTATAAAATAATACATCCATAAATAATGATCTTTAGTGCCATATATCATAGAAACATCACCATGAATATAATTAGTATTTGATACTTCTCTTCTAGAAACAACAGATGAAAACCTAATAATTTTGAATTTAATATATACATTTTAACTAATCCTGCAAAATTGAAAATATACAAATATAAAGCAGTATTCGATAAAATACTTAAATCATACTTTTGTTTAAGATACAACAAATACAAATATGATCCAATAAATATTATATTAAATTACATAACCATTAATATTATCATTGTCAATATTTTCAAATAAATATTTGGTATCTATTGAATCAATGACAAATAACAATCCAAATCTTTAGACATAAAATAAGAACTATCACTAGTTTATTCAATAAAAAGAAAAGAAAAAGAGAATTCTATGTTAAAAGTAAATATCACAGAAAATATCCGGAAATAATTTAACAACATCTTTATCAAAATACTTTCATGATCTAATAATTAAGTATTTTACTATTACTTTAATTTAATTTAAATAATATCTTATTAAATCGTTATCCAATAATTAATTATGCATATAATAAGTTCGAGGAATGTATACTTTTTAAAGACATAGATATAGACACAAAAGTCCTATTATAATAAGAAAATAATACCAAATTCCAACAATAAATACTGAGATTAACTTACTTAACTCAAATTAACATTTTAGACATTATTAATCCCATTAATTTTTAAAATATTTACCAAATCCCTTAGTATCATACACATCACATTCTTCACACAATGCTCCTATATGTCCTTCACTGCATGTATAATCACCAACCTACCAACCTCCATGGCAAAATTATGGATTCTTAAAACAATACTCTGCATAATCTGATAATTTATTGGGTCTCCAAAATCCTGGTAACAAGTTTATCATATTTGAAGTAATATCAGAGTGTTTGTCATTATCAAAAATAGAACATTTTGTTGCATTATATGTAACTGAATAATACCCTTAATTTGATTAACAGATCTGACACCCACCGTTTATGTAAAATTCACCTAATTGACATTTTAGACTTCTTGCAGTTATTATATAAAGTAAATTATTTCTGGCCTCTTCTATCTAACAATTAATTTCAATTTATAAATTTTTATAAGTTTATTCATTAGGATCTAAATTAAATTATAACAATCCAAAATCAAATGAATTCTATTAATTATCATAAAATAAGGTTTAAACATCTCCTTTTCTATATAATTCTTGAAAAGTTGTAGTGATAATTTTATTTGTAACTTCACAAGTTGAATTATATTGATCAAATATTATTTCATTTCTACTATTTTTGTAGAATAATCTAATATCTTTAACATAAAGTTTATAAGTTGAGTTGTGTAAATCAAAAATTTAGAGAGTTTTAATAACCTAATTACTTGGTATTATTAAATCATTAGTATATATATAATTTCCTTATTCAATCATACGATACCTTTTAAGTTTCAACATATTAAAATTAGTATTATTTAATATGGAAGGTTTTGAAGGATTTTCCATGAAATTCAGATAAATAGCCAAATGAGTTGGGATCTCTACAACATTATTACCATATTCTTAATCTTAAGCAATATTAAACAATAATATTGAAGATACAAAATTATCATTATTTAAATTGCAATCACCTTTTAAATACATACCACCACCAACTCTTGCTCTATTACCTATAATTATTGATCGAATAATAATAAAGCTCATAGAATTTGAGTGAATATATAAGCCTCCACCAAAATCTTCTGCATAATTTTAGATAATTTTACAAAACTTGATAGATATTTTCACTTTTTATGAGAAAATAGCTACTCCCTAACTACCATTATTATAAAGGAAATTAGAATTCTCAATTTATATTTTAGAT